TAAAAAATAAATAGTAAAACTAAAAGAAGATGTAAATGTAATAATATTAATGTAATTCTTATTGTTTTACTAAATTGATTCTTTGGTAAATTTCATTAAAGTAATTATTTTAAAAAATTAAAAGATAAAACTAAAGAACAAAAAACTGATATTAGCTGATATTAATTAAAATTAAAAATATAATTATACATTTAATTTGCTCTTTATTTGAAGAAATTAGAATAAACAAGTTTTCTATTAATATACAGTAGTGTGTAAAAGTGTTTCGGTTTAAATATATCAAATTGTACTGAGATATAGAGTACTGTTTCTCTCAACAAATTTTCTTGCATCTTTTCTTTTTACGATTAATTAGTCAATTAATAGAGAAGAGAGGAAGAACTTAGATGTACCTTTCAATCTCTGATTTTCTACATCAAAATATAATATTTTTTCTTTCTATTATAAATATATAATTTTTATAATTATAAATTGTTAATGTAGATCAATGTAATTATCAAAAAAGGCAAACATTTTCTCTCTCTCGTTAAAGAATATTTAAATGATGATAAATAAGTAATATAATAAGTGTTTACATAATATGATCTATAAATCCTATCTTAAAATTGCTGTTACATGTCCTAAAGTCTCTTTTCGTCGAGGCTGTTAATACAAATTTAAAACATTCCATTATATTTCCATTATATTATATGATTCCCATTATATAACACAAAAATTTTGGCTTTCTCTCTCTCTCTCTCTCTCTCTCTCTCACTAAGAATTCTTAGTCAAATTTAAAATTTTTTCTTTCTTATTTAACATTTATTTTCATCGTCACAAACAATTCTTCATATATTTTTTTCACAATTTCTCATCACTAAAAATGTTATAGACTAATAATTATCGAATTTCTTACGTTTAGTTAAAATTAAAATGCAGAAGTCCAATCTTCATTGTCATCGATTGGAGTATCGTCGATTTTATTGTTGTTTGAACGAAGCTATGATACACGACTTGTATACATATGTACAGCAGCAATCAATGATTGAAATGTCACGAGTAATCAGCACAATTCGTGTTGTTGATTAATCTTGGATAAATTATTTGCAGCAACTGTTGTTGAATATTTTAAGACAAGATACACACCAATTTTTAAAATTTTTGAATGTTCGAATTTACCCGAATCGATGATATCGTCAGTCTTGAGTTCGACTGTGTCAAGTATTTTGAAAACATGTGCGGTCGACATGCAGTTGACTTTGAGAGCGATTTGTAATTCCATTTAATGTTGAATCACAGTTGGATAATAATAAAATAAAACGTGAAAATATACATTTCATTCCTTCTTATTTGTAATAGTTCAAATGTATAAGACAGAGTTCGTCAAATTTTTGTCTACTTTTTCTTTGTGCAAAATATAAGAACAAAATAGACGTAATTTTTAAATTTTATTAAATTTTATCATATACATACATACATGTACATACACATATATATTTATATGTACTGAGTGTTCAGTAAAGATCGTACTTCAACAGAGTTGATTAAGAATTGATTCCTAAATTATTTTAAGACAAAAATTCTTTTAAGATCAAAATATCGAGCCTATAAATTAGTTTTTGAATTATAAACACTCAAAGTTACCGAATTATATCGTATAAAGTTCACACGCTTAGATATGGTTGAATTTTCCATCGTATTACATCTAAAAGCGCGAACTTTAAACAGTATAATTTGATAATTTTAAATGCTTATAATTTAAAAATCATTATAACCTCTCGATATTTGGAAAATGTAAAATTATTATTTATACTATTATATATACTACTTGAAATTACAACGTGAGATTCCAAATAAATGAGGTGTTGTAGCCTTTATTTTATAAATTAATTTATTATATCGCAGTGTATTTATGTATAATTTTACATTGTATAATTGTTCATTTACGTATATTGTACACGATGTCTCTAAATCATTGAATTTCCTTTTAAGAGTTTTAAGATTATTTGAAATATTCCAAGATGAAAATTCTACGAAAAATTTCGAGATTATAATAATTTTTAAATTAATAGTAATTAAAATTCTTTACAGAACTGATATTTCGCGTGCTCAGGTGTGCCATGAAAAATGATAAAGATATTATCACAAAAGACCTCTTCTTAGCAACATCAAGATTATCATACAAATATATATAATGATATTTTTACTTAAATATCAAATGTTTCTTCTAGATTTAATGTTTCGAAAAAAACTGATATATCTATTTCTTTTCACGATATCAAGTTTTCATAACATAAGCATTAAAACTTAAGTTATTTACAGGAAATCATTTTCAGTTATTACTTTTAATTTGCAATATAATGTCCCCGTTATAAAAATATAAAATTTTTATAAGGGAAATTAATTAGGGAATTAATCATAATTTAGTTTACAAAATAAAACTGAAACATGTAATTAAGAAGAAAGATTCGATGAAGATAATGTTTGCCTATACACGTTTTAAATAAAATTCTTTTATATTTTAGTTTTAATCTTTTGTATATATGTACATTCTATTAATCGCAATCAGTTCAATAATACATATCACATATATACATATATATATATATATATATATATATATTTATCATATACTTAAATGTACATATAGTTATATGTATTTTACATCGTTAAACACGCAAAGTAAAAATTCAATTTGCATCCAAACAGATCTTTTGTGTTAGTAGAAAATCATCAAATGTTGACTCTGATGTATTTGTTTTATATAAAGCAATTTTTCATTGCTTTTTTCTTACACATCTATCTCGAAAAGTGTAAAATTATTACTAAAATATCGAAAAACAATTAATACACGCAAGAATAAACATATTTTTAAGATAGATAAAAATTAATATACACAAAAAAACAATGAAAGGTATTACAACTATAGTGTCCAAATTACAATTTTTCAGGAGAATTATTTGCACAATAATTTTCTTTTTGCAGAAAAATCAAGTATTCGGGAAAAATTCAAATGTTGTAATGTATCAATACGTAGTTGTATTTGTTCAATGCTTTATATTTATTGAACAAGTAATATTAAATAAATATAAAGTACTGAATAAATACAACTACATATTTATGTTACAATGTTTGCACATATCTTTGAAAATTGTAAGTAAAGATGCTGAATGTTATTACAAAATGCATCCCATAAATGCAGTTATATTATTCATTAAACAGAAAAATTGTTTGAAATATTTTTCTCTCATAGTATTAGATTTATATACTATTTCGATATTTTAGGCTATACTATAACTAATATTTAATTAGAAAAATAATTACAAAGATTACTCAATCGAATGTCCTGAAAATTTCGAAAACTTATTTTTAAAAAAGCAAGGTAGTTTTTTCGTGTATTATTACACAGAAAAAATTTATTTTTGTATAAAAAAATACAAATTATTAATATAAAAGAAAATATACAAAAAGAGATTATCGATATTATATAAATACCAAAAAAAGTATTTGCACTCTTTTTCGATTTCAAGCAAAAACAGAAAAAATTTTACTGTAAACAAAATTGATGAAATGTCAATATAAAAGAAATATTAAAATGTATATTCTAATTAGGAGATTGAACAAAATCATACTGTTTTACTATTCTAGAAAAGATGGAATATGCAAATTCTTTTTTCCATGTTTTAACAAGTGTAACGAAAGGGTACCGTAAATGTGGATGACTTGGGACAACATATATTTTTGTTAAATTCAATCCATTTATAAGTTTCTAAAGGAAGTTTAAAATTTTAGAAACTCATGGATGGATTCCATGATTGAATTTAACAAAAATACATGCTGTCCCAAGTCATCTATACTTGTCCTAAGTCACCCATATTTACAGTAGTTAATCTATTCTTCGGAAGATAAATTATAAGATAAATAAATTTCGTATTAATTGCTCGTAGTATTGAAACTTTGTATTATTCTGTAACTTCATGCATTCACGTATGAACATGTATGCATTGTACTTCGCTGCGATTTTTCTTTTAATTAGAAAACCGTGATATTTGCAGTAGAAAGTTTCATTACAAACGCTGAAAAAATATGTAGATATATTTAACATATAATTACATATATATTTATATATGTTCTTATAAAAAATGTTTTATTGAAATTATATCTTGTTTCGTAATACTCTAATATGTCATATTGTTATAATATTTTTGTGATATTTTATAATATAGATAATTATATATTTAATATTAACATTACATGTATTACATTTAATATTAACATTATATGTATAATTAATATAGTATGTATGATTCTATTAAACCCATACAATATACATTAAGAGAAATTTTTTAAATTTCTTTTTAAACTTAGAATACAATTGCCTTTACATTTTTTTTAACTGACGTTTTTTTTAACTGACGTTTTATATATATTAATATTTTCTTAACATTTTAAAATTTTATTAAAGTTATCAGAATGTCTCTTTTGGCAAGTTGCAAAAAAAAATAACAGAAAAAAGATAATAATCATTAATAAAAGATAATAAAATGCATAAAAATTCTTTTGATATATAAATTAATACTAAAACGTCGCTTTTATATTAAACTTTTCTTAAACCAAAAAATAAGCAATGATGAAAATAAAATTCAATTAAAATGAAAGTGACAGAGAGGAAAAATAACAAACATATTTATTATTAAAAATTAAGTTTAAGAAAGGAAGACCACCATTTACTTACCATTTATTATCTATGAATGTCTCAATTTCATATGGAAAGATGCTGTCAGTCCACTTACAGATTTCATCATAATATTTTTCTGTTTCCATATCTGAGATCTTTATATTTTGGATGCGCTTAAGCCAAGTATTGTACGTATTACAATAGCACGTTTTGCTGACAATATCATTTATGGAGGACAGAGTTCTGAATAGGATGTTCTGAATTGCTTCGAACTTGTCACTTGTCATGTTCTCTGTCACAATTTTGCAGTAATTTATGATTGCATATAGTAACATTATAAAAGTGCATTTGGGAAATGTGTCTAAATGTATCAAAACAATTTGTAATACGTCGGCCGTGATGCGTATTATATTTTCGTATGCTATCATCTCGTCGGTCCAACCAAATTCGTGCCAGAATTCGAATGTCAATTCACACGCAAATTCTATGTACTCGCACTTGAAGCTGTGCAACATTACATGACGTATAAAAGCTTCTTGATCAAGACTGAAAGATTGGGCATAACTGCGCAATTTGGGATGGCATTGTGGATCTTTGTGCAATAGTTGGTACACAGGGAAGCAACGTTTAGCATATTCCTGGATTATATTCAATATATTCATCTTAGGCTGCATAATTTTCATATCAAGCGGCTCTATATAATTGCAGGTAAAGCATATTAAATCATATTGATTGTTTGTCAATATACTCGGAATGTTCAAATAATTCAACATGGTATTTATAAGTATCATCCAATTATAAATTGTGAATTTTGAAAATGTTGCATTAGATCTTCTCAGCAGTGATACCTTCTTCATTAATGCTACTGTTAATAATGTGTAATTAGTTCTGTTTGTGCAGAGCCTTTTTTGTAAGATGCTTCGTATATGTGATAATACAATATGTATGTTGTTTAAATGACTATTAATCAGCCAAGGAATACAAAGTTCATTCATTACGTCATCTGCAGTCATCATCTGTAAAAAAATTTAGGAATAAAATATAATAAAAAATTCTAACAAAATATATAAAAATTAATAAAAAATACATAATAATTACTTATATGTATACATTTCAATCAGTATATTCGAATCACTAACATACATCCGAATAAAATCATATTCAAATAATATATTAAAAAAAACGACATTATTATTTAACAAATACAAATTTTTGTTTCATAAATTTCGGTTATTTAAATAATCGACTTAATTATCATAATTATTACATAATTTGAATACTGCATAATATAAATAAAATTTATATAACTCATTACAATGTTCGTGAAATTATACATATAAAAATTATACATATTAAATATTACAATATATAAAATATATCTGTTTTAATATAGAAAGATTTGTATTTTGTAAAAATAATAAACATGGGAAGATTAAGATTAAGACATAAATTATAGAAAAAAAATGTTTATGAGAACTGTAACTATAACAGAAAAACACAATGTGTGCAAAAATATTTTCTACTTTTTAATACATTTGCAATACATTTGTTGGATGAATTTTCTCATAAGATTCATTTTTTTAAAGATACCAATGATCTATTAAAAATATTTGATAGATATTTTAAAATAATAAAAAAATTATGAAAACATTACAGATTATTTTAAATCGCATTTAAAAGTAATACAAATTTTTTTTGGCGATGGTTTTATTTGGATCATAAGTTATTTCAGCAAGAAATATTATTTTCTTAATTTATGCTCTAAATGTTTGGAAATGTATTATAAAATAAATGACAAAATCATAATTTTTTAATATAAGTACTTTATGTATATTCAAGATTATTTATGTGAAGTGCTATTGCGATGCAGAAATTAGTTGTTCAGTAAATAAATAAAATATTTATTCTAAATATTTGTAATTAATTGATGAATAGCAATGAAACTTTGCATAAGTTTTTTTGAATACTCAAAGTACTTATACAAAAAATTAAAATTTTTTGTTATTATTTTTTAAATTTTAGTTTATAATAATAAAAATTATAACAAATGAAATAAATAAATAAATTAGAAAAATGTGTTGTTCATTAAGAACAAAATTTTGGAAACACTATTTTTATATGTATATAATTTGTTTAAAGTATAAATATTAATGTATGTGCTATATACGTCTATCAAATATTCTTAAGTGATCTAATAACAAATGAATAAAAATTACTACAAATTTTGTAAATTTTATTACGATTAAAAAAATAATAAAATTATAGAAATACGTCTAAACATTGGATGTGACGTAATCTGATATAATGTGAATTTAATAATAAAATTATACTCATAATAATAAAATTTATACTCATAATACTTATTTCATTTACAACATTGTTTATCACCTGATAATCCAATATTTTATTAATAAATATCCAAAAATTGATTCGCAATGCCACGTTTTGCTGTAAAACTATATTTTTCAGAATGTATGTCAGCACGGTATATTGGTCCCTTCTTAAGCAGTAATAGCTTTGTATGAAACATGCGATCACGTTGTTTTTGAATAAAATACTATTGGATGATGTAATGTTCATCTCATAGAATATTAACTTGTTTAACACATCCCTTGGGTTTAATAGAATAAAGATCAAGAGGACACGACGTCTCTGGGAAATAGTATCCACTATTGATCGCGAATTATAGAATTCTTCAACAAATAAATTTTGTAAGAATGTGTCGAATGACTCTTCATTATACAGACATTCTAAACAATTGTCGTCAAAATGTCGCTCCATGTATTCCAATATGATGACATGTAAATCATCTTCTTTTAGATGCATCAATATTTTCAGCACTGATACATATACTTGGTACTTTTCTTTTTTAGTATGTAGATGTGCGAGTTTATAATAGAGATATTCGAGTATAACATTGAAATCGTCAAGACTTAAAAATTTCACTCTCTGTCTGATAAAATCTAATGTGTACAAGTCCCACTCTTTATAACGTTTAATTAGTTCCTTTATACCACGTGACTTGCCTTTGGCGATGTCATGGCAGAGTTCTTGAAGAGTTAAAATAGATTCCTCGGATTTTATTGGCCCTATAAGTTGCTTCAGGCAAAGGAACAATTGTTCATTTTTCATCAAAAAATCATTCTCTTTCATAAATTCTTTAAGATAGTGACATTCCATAATGATAGCACGATGTAGTGAAATCATAGTGTTCTCATTATCAACGATGTTTCTCCAGACTATATACTCGGAAGAGTCAATCTCCTTGATTTGATTCAGGAGTAGAGTGGCCAATATCTGATCTAATCTTATTATAATGCACGTTATCACATTGATTGGAAGTATGTGATAATAATTCATATATTCATTGTTGCCATATGTAAGTGTAAATAGTTTCAGTAGATTATGATTTTCCGAGTAACTTCTTATTTTGCTATACATGCACTTCTTGATATAGTAAAGTATATTCTTTACTAAAATACCATGTTGTAAGTGCTTCTCCACACTGGATAAATTACAAGAAGTAACAAACTTTGGGCTTACAAGTAAATTTAACAATATTTCAAAATACATTATTATTTGATGAACGCATGTCGTCACATTTTGTTCTGACAAGGTGCCTAAATGCAACCATAAGAACTTATTGTATATTTTATAGATTAGAAGAAAAATAATGCGTTTAGCTCGAGGGATTGCCAATTCGTCTATATGTTTGATCGTTGTCTCCAAGATCTCCGCGCAAAGATCTAATGGTACGTGCATGATCGATTCAATCAGTAAATCCTCGCACTTCGAATACCATATTATCTGTATATATAAATGAAATATATAAAAAATTAATAATTGATTATAAAGCATATATATATATATTTTTTTTTTTTTCATATATACAATATCATTATCATCATATATCTAATATTTTTGCGCAATTTCTATTAATGTAGCTACACACTTAATTATTTTCTATACATGCATATATATACATATATTAGATATAAATATTAGATATATGATTTAAGTTAACGTCTAAGAAAAAGAAACACATTATTATTTGCTTATGTCTAAAACTGTATGAATTTAATTGATAAAATAAAAGAGATGTCTTTGATATCTTATTATTATGTTATATGATATATCAGAAGTATAAAAAAAGAGAGACACAGATAATATAATATACTTCGAGTATCTCTCATAATCTCTCACTAACATCAATATATATATTCCTTAATTCACACATTGATTTAAGAAAAAAATCAAAATTTTTGAAAAGTATTCAATGTTTAATACATTTATAATGTAAAAAAGTTAATATTATCTATTAATTATATATATATATTGTTTATTGTAATATATGATTGTTATTGATAAATTACCTGTACGAAGAGATAAGGTGATAGTGTAGGCCATGTACCGACTACGTGTCCGAATATCAAGTCCTTCTTAAGAAGGTACTGCGAGGAAAATTTCGTATTTAATAGTAAAAAGTTGTAATACATGGCGAATGTTTGCAAACAGATATAGCTTGTTTCGTGAGTGCTGTCTTTAAAGAATAGCTTAATATCATGCATCCTAAGTCGATTTTTTAAAAAATACATAATAAATGTTGATATTTCGTCAACTGAATACGAAATCTCTTTTCTTTGAGACGAAAGACGTTTCAATTGACCATGTTGTTGTTGCAGCAGTGATAAAATGATTTTCATGGTGTGATAATTTTCCATATTGATCAAAAATCTAACAAAATGAATTTAAAAGCAAAAAGACTTTATTAACTAATTTTAAATGTAATAAAATATATAAATAGTACCTTGTACACACAAACATACACACAATATCATACGTAAAATATATTTATATTAATATTATATGTATAATATAATGTTAACAAACTCATAATAAAAATAAAATAAAATACATGAAGACATATGCGACAATATTAAATTTAATTCTTGTTGATATTAAATTGATAATTGATTATTGTTAATATTTATTTTTGTAAACATACTTAAAATAATTATGTAGAAAACAAAAGGTAAAATTAAAAGCATAAAAAATTATCTGATTTTAATTAAAATTGAAAGTCTTTTTCTTTATTTTGAAGAAATTAGAACAAATTTTTTATTAATATAAAGCGATGTATAAAAATGCTTTGGTTTAAGTAAATAAAATTATGCTGATAATATGCAAATAATATAATAATAGTAAGTGTTTATATGTATAATATAATGAATAAATATAATGTAAATTTATAACATTGTCGTAATAATGCATTCAAATTTCAGCTTACCAGAATTTCCTACTTAAGAAATTTTTTTCATTCAAAATTTACTTTCACAAATAGTCGTCGATAAACATTGTATTTTTCCCGTATACCTCCTTCGAAATTTCTTATCACCAAGAGATATCTACAAATCAATAATTGCTGAATTTCTTACGTCATTTATTTGATTAAAATTAAAACATAGAAGTCTGATCTCCATTGTATTGTTTGGAATATTGTCAACTTTTATTGCTGTTTGACCAAGGCTATGACACTTCGTTTACAAACAACGTTTGTTGGTTAATCTCTGCAGATAAACTATTTATAAATTGTTGTATATTTTAAGACAAGATATGCAATTTTTTGAATTTTTCGTATAGACATTCGAATTTACTCGATTCGAAATTGACAGTCTCGAGAGTCTACCTGTACCAATTATTTTGAAAACACATGTAACTAACTTTGAGAGCAACTTGTAATTTCATTTAATGTCGAATCAGTCTGATGTTGCGATTGAGTAAAGCCAAATGTTGACGTATATTACATTCTTTCTCATTCGTAATAATAAGAACGTATCAGATAGCTCGTAATAAATTTTATTTATTCTTCTATAAAATATTAGAATAAAATAAACATAATTTTAAAGTTTGCAAAATTTTATTGTGTGTGTGTGAGATAAGTTTACGCAACCAAAAACAGAAATAAATGCAAATCATTAATATATATGCAGATTTTATATTATGCTGTCCGGTGTGCTGTATCACTTACGTTCTTACATCTAATTACAGCATATGTATGTCTTTCTTTTTTCTTTTTTTTCTGAATACGTATTACTTACATTGTATACGAAAGTATGCAATGCAATGAAAAATGGATACAAAATCGATGAAAATGAAAGAGACTAGAATACAATGATAGTTTGTGGATGAATAGGTCAATTAAAAAATTTTTATATTTATATTTTAAAAGTAAAATTATCTTTAATAATATTTGAAATATAAAGTGTTACACAATTCATTTTTTATATTTAAATAATAATTTCATAAATGATCTAATATTATTATGAAACTTAAAAATCAATTGTTTTCTAAGAATAAAAAATGTGATTATCTTAACTATAAAAATAATCTAATAAAAATATAAAAATAAAAATAAATATTTTTTAAAATATATATATATTAAATATATAATTAATATAAATATATACTAAATATATATATATATTAAAAAACTTTTATTAAATGCAATAATTTTTTAATGAAATTCTAACATCTAACATAAAGTATGTATATAAGGTGCATTCCATTTTGTGCTTATAAGCATCCATTTGCCCTTGTTTTATAATGGATTAAAATTAAAATTTTAATGCGTATTTTAAGTCCAATTAAATTCAATTGAATACGAAAACTTTTTTTTATTCAATTAGATTTCACTGGATTCAATTGAATTAAAAAAACTGCTTTTCCTATTCAGAATTTTGATTTGAACAGTATTCACGATGTACAGAAAAAACTGATATTTTTTTAATTAAGATTAAAAGAAGTAGAAATGTGCTTCATGTAATTATTCACATAAATGAATAAAAATGCATAGAGCACTGAAGAAGATTCATTTTAATACATATTTCTGAAAATCTGAATTTATTTCATCCATTTCAATCCGTTTTTATTTACTGGGCAATTGTTTCTTACATATTTTATGCAAAGAAAGGAAAGCATCATTACAAAATACTTTATTAAACGTATCAATATAAAAAAAAGATAAATTTAATTACAATATTGTTAAAAATCAGTAAAAGTAGGGCCGGATATTGCATAAGGACAGTTGTAACGGAGGTTTGTTATAGCAATGTATATTTCTTTTAAATGATAAGAGATAAAAGCAATGCATATTTCTTTTAAATGATATGAGATAAAATAATCATATGAACAGAAATAATCAGTATCGAGACCTGCCTTTGCCTCATGACGTCAATCGCGCATACATCACATGTAAAAGAAATATATAGGGTACTCAGATAAGCCATGTAAGTGTAAATTTATTAAGTGTAATTTTTTTTACTTTTTTAGTTATACTTTTTTGCTTTAAACTTTCAAATAAAATGCTTTTCATTTTATTATAATTCTAAAATACGTTTCCTCATGCTATGTGCATGTCTTTTATGATATTTTTAAGTGTTTTCAAATATTTATATAAATTTTGACAACATCAATTTAGGGTTGCCGCATTGCCAGGATACATTGTAACACCATTACAATTAACGGTAAATGTTAACAAGAGTCCGCTCATCTCAAAATTTTGATAAAAATACATTGAATCAATGCGTTTTCGCGTAAAAATAAAGATTTGACAAGAAAAAAGTGTCGCTCTGCTTCGTGAACCAAAATATTTTAAGTTGACTATCCAAATAGGAAATCTGTCATAGCCACGAAATACTGCAATGCAAACACGTGCTGAGGTATATATACATATCTTTATGTTCTATGGTCACATGTGAATGCGTTATAAGTATTTCTTATTGTAATAAAAATACAGGCTGCTTCATTTTAAGTGAGGTCGATTATCTCGCGAATCAATGATTTTATTTAAAAATTTTTCCATATCACTTAAAATGAAACACTATATATATTATTCACTGCTTTACAAATACAAATTTACTGCTTATTCTCTGCTCTAAAAACATAAATTCACTGCTTTTTAATAGCAAATTTACTGTTTTAAAAACAAAATATAAGAAGATAATTTCTTTTTAGAACAGATAATTTGTTTTTAAAGTAGTGAATTTTTGTTTTAGAACAGATAATTTGTTTTTAAAACATGTTACAACTTTCCTTAGATCTGTTTCATTCTGCTCAAAATCGGAGCAAAAGATGTACTAATTCGGATTTTGATATTTTACTCACAAATAGCCTAAAATTACATCTTTTTGCAAATAGTACCATAAATCTAAATAGTTGTTGCGTCATGTGTATTATAAAAGAAATAAATGTCATAAATAAAGCAATATATCAATATTTCTAAAAATCGTTACAACTATCCCCAGTCTAGTATATTTCTATACTTTATCAAAATTAATCTATTATTCCGGACATAAATTGCGCAGTAATTGTTCATAATAATCATGACATTCTGTGGATATCTTGATGCATTCACAAATGAACAAATATGCGTTATACATCGTAGCAATATTGTTCTTAAAAAAATTTTGACGTTTGCAATACAAACATTCATCACAAGTGCTGTAACATATCAAGTATACATATCACACATTTTATTTTCTATAACATTTTATATTTTTCTATACATCTTTATAATAAGTTTATTTATATTTCTCTTTCTCCCCCCCCCCCCTCTCTCTCTCTGTATGTGTGTATACACGAACACGGACGTATATCTATCTATAATATACAATATATATATATATATATATTTGTGTATAACGTATTCTACTCGAATATATAATATATTCTATAACTAAAATGTATATCTCTTTTTTTCAAATAATCAACAATGTTAAGTGTACATTACATGTAAAATACTAAAATACTATTAAAAAAGTAAGATAATAATAAAATATATCCGTAACGCGTACGCATCTACATACACACATACGCAATAAAGATTTTTGTAATTAAAAATTAAGTTCATTTTACAAAAGAAAAAAAACATCGTTATTTATTTACCAGTCTATTAGAGATATTGTACAAGGCACGTATCCATGGATGAGTGCATAAATCCATTCGGAGGTTTCATTATATTTTCCTGTCAGATAAGATGGGTTTCCATGATAAACATACTTGAGCAAGAAATTATACATAAGTTTATAGCGCTTCTCGCCGACTACATCTTTTGTAGAAGATAAAGTCTTCAGTAGGATGCGGCGAACTTCTTTCTGGTTATTATCGGGCATAAAATTTTCTATTTTGTTGGAGAAACTTATGATTGAGTGTAATAACATAACAAATGTATTTTTTGAAAACGATTCTATATTCATTAAGGCAATCTGCAACGCCTCGGCGCTGATTTGCATTATGTTCTCATAAGCTATCATCTCGTTGGCCCAACCAAAATCGCGAAAGAAAATCAATGTTAAAGCGAGCCCATACATCTCGTTCTCAATCTTAAAGCAATACAATATTATATGACGAATAAAAGACTGTCGATCGAGGTTAAAAGATTCCACATAATTGCGCAACTTGGGATGGCATCGTCGATCCGTGCGCAATCGTTGATGCATAACGAAGCAACGTTTCTCATATTCCTGGATTATTTCAATTATATTCATAGCACTTGGAAACAGATTTTTCATTTCAAGCGGCTCTATGCTATTTGAATTTATATAATACCGTATAATTGGCATTGTATTGAGTATACGCAAATTCCATAATATATTGTTTATAATGTCTCCTCGTTCATACGCCATGACTTTTGAAAAAGTTTTGTTGCCTCTCCTTAGCAATGACATTGTCTTCAACAATGCTATTATTAAATACATGAAATTAGTTCTGTATGTAAGAAGGCCTCTCTTCACGGTACTGTACATATGTAATAATATAATTATTACAGTATTAGTTTCCTCTAAACAATTACGAACTAGGTAGATAACATAAAGTTCGTTAATTATTTCGTCTGCCGTTATCATCTATGAAATAATTTAGAAGAAATTAATATGGAATTTTAACAAGATGAAAATTAATAAATGAAGATTACAATTATTATTACAACGTATATTCAAATCAGCATTAATTAAAAATATAGTAAAAATATATTCGAATAAAACTTTATCTTGAATTGACGAGAAAAATACTATGGAATTTATTCTTGACTAACAAATACGAATTTTTATTTAACAGATTTCGATTATTTAAAAATTTAAATAACTAAACTTTAAAAAAAAATTATTTACATATTTCGTGATTTGAGGAGAAAAATATAATGTATGTAATAATCTTTTTTAATTTTTGAAATTGCAAAATGTTTTCCTGGCTAAGTTCTTTAAATATTTTCTTAAAAACAACTTTAATTTATTTTAAATAACTCTATTCTAGTGTATTGATAAAAAATATAGAATTTATACATTATATTATGAGTAAAGAATAATAAGCGTAAGGTCGAATTTTATCAAATCTACTAAAAATTTAGTTCTATAATGATTATTTCATTTATAGCATTGTATATCACCTGATAGCTTAACACATTATCCATAAAATCTATAAAACGGGAGCATAATATTATGCGCTGTACGAAAATCATGTCCTTCAGTATGTACATCAACACATTGCATTCATTACTCTTTAAAGTGTAATACGATCGTACTAAAGACATATTCTCTTCGAACATAAAATCATGGGAGAATTTAACGTCTATTTCATACATCACAATTTTACTTAAAACTTCCTTCGGGTTTAACAAAATATAGGTTAAGAGGGTACACAATTCTTGGGTTCTAACCAATTCAGTCATTTCGCAAGGTTCTATAAATGAAGATCTCTCTATGAATTCTATGAAACATTTTTCATTGTACAGATACTCTAAAGGATTGTCGTCAAAATGCTGCTCCACATAATTTTGTACAACATAATGCAAGTCATTTACTGTTAGCTGAATCAATATTTTCAATACTGACACACACACCCGATACTTTTTTGCATTAGTATGCAGATATGGGAATATATAATGAACATATTCGAGTATAACGGAAACATCGTAAATTTTCAACAATTCTATCTTTTCGTTGATAAAATCCAATATAGACAAATCCCATTCTTTATAGCGTTTAATCAATTCCCTCATATCATGCAATCTACCATCTGTGATTTTACGACAGAGTTCTTGAAGAGTTAAAATAGATTCCTCGGATTTTTTTGGATCTACAAGTCGCTTCAGATAGGGGAACAGTTCCTCGTTTGTCATGAAACATTTATTCTGCTTCACAAACTCTGTAAAGTAATGGCATTCCATGGCGATGCCTTGTTGTAGTGATATTGTAGTGATTTCATCATCTACGGTGTTTTCCCAAACTATGTATTCGGAAGTTTCAATATGCTTGATCTGATTTACAAGCAAATTAATCAGTTTTTGGTCTAATGTTGTTATAATAGATTTTACTTCGCCGACAGGAAGTACGTGATAATAATTCGTGTATTCATTAAAGTTGCCGTACGTAAGTGTAAATGATGCTGCTAGATTACAATTTTCCCAGTAATTTTCAATTTTGCTATGCATGCATTTCCTAATATAGTGAAGCATGTTTTTCACTAATATACCATGTTGCAAGTACTTTTCATTGATGCATGACGTAGGAGAAGAAACAAATATAGGATTGACAAGAAAGTCTAACAATTTGTCAAAATATGTTATTAATTGATGAACGCGTACCATCACATTTTGTTCTGATAGTGTACCTAAGTGCAGCCATAAACATTTATAGTACACCTTGTAGATCAGAAGAAAAGCAAGGCGTCTAGCTCGTGGAAATTGTAATTCGTTTATGTGTTTAAATGTTGTTTCCAAAATTTGCACACACAGATCCAATGGTATATGCACAAGCGATTCAACTAATAAATCCTCGCACTTCAAGTGCCATATTATCTGTATTATGTGGATTACATAAATAAAATATATTAATAATAAAATACATTAACAATACATAAAATAAAATAAAATATATTAACAATTATATAATTTCATGAATAATAACATACAATATGCAGTAACGATATACATGTTACAGATAAATATACATATACATATAAATACATCAAACAATAATATCCATTTAATCTTGAAAGCAAGTGTGGAAGAATCCTCAAAAATCAACTTTAACATTTTTAATGGAAATTTTACTTTTTATTCAATATTCTTGTAACGGACATCAAGGTTTTTCAAAATATAATTGTAGTTTTTGAAAAGGCCTTGATGTCAACTATAAAAATATTGAATAAAAAGTAGGCGTTTCCGTTAAAAATTTTAAAGTTAATTGTGAGAGTTCCTCCATACTCGTGCTCCAGGTCAAATGGGTATCATTGTTTGATGCATTTGTTAAAATCCTACAATTTTTCCAATATACCAATAATTTCTGAAGTAATTAGCTGTTCCGTAACTTTTAACATGCATACACGCGCGCGCACGCACGTATGTACGTAAGTGTATTATTTTTTATATATGCACTTATATGTGCATAGAAATATAAAATAAATCTAAAACTGATTTTCATTTTATTATTCAACACAATTTTTTCTTATCGTTATAAAGGTTATCGTTATAAACTAAATAAGTAGGTATATAAATTAACACTAAAAAAAAAATATATATTATATATAATTCCATTATCTCGTACCCATAAACCATAGAATTCAATAATGAAATAAACAGATCTTTTTCGTAATGATATAAATATTTTATATGTTATGTGAAAATTGTGAAAATTTAATAGAAAACTACAAATGATATATTTAACATATTTCTTACACTTTTATGTCATATAATACCAATACAATATTAAAATCCAATCAACCACATTCCATACACGCATTGATTTAAATAAAAGTAAAAAATCAAATTAGTACTAAAAATATTATTAAAATAGTATTAAAAATATATTCAATATATGATATATATTTAATATATTCATGATCAATACAGATCTATAGTGCAATCAGAAAATTAATATTATTTATAAATCATTATTAATCCTTATTACTAATATATTATTAAATCTTATTAATATAAAATATGTATTGTTACTAGTATGTGAATTACATTTTATATTACTAATATATTATTAAGCCTTATTAATATAAAATATGTATTGTTACTAATATGTGAATTACCTGTATGAAGAGATAAACTGAAAGAGTGGGACATATACCGACCATGTAGCCGAATCTTATGTCGTTCCTGAGAAGATGCTGTGAGAGAAAATTCGTATTCAATAACAAATAGTTGTAAAATCTAGCCAATATTGGAATATTTTTCCTTATTTCAAGATTACAACTGTCTTCAGTAAATATCTTAATATTATATAACTTGAATCTCAGACTGTTTTCTAAAATTCTGACTTGCTCTATAATAGATGTTATTATTTTGTCAATGAAATGCGAAGTCTTCTTCGTACGAGATGAGAGAAGTTTCAATTCTCCATATGGGTTCTCTTGTAATATTAATGTGATGGCCTCAATAAATTGACACAAAATTGAATCCATCTTGAGTGAAAATATTTAAAATAAAAAAAA